ATAATATGATCCTTGTGTTCTAATGCTACAAAACATGATGTCCTTCAAGAATGTAATTCATTGCCAAAAGAAATAATTAACACCAACATGGGAGGGACACAACGCAGATGCTGTCATTTTTCCCTCTATGTTTTCAGACTCTTATCTTTGCTGCGGTTATTTATGTTTTTGATAAGCGACATCATCTCTTGAAATTGTATTGTTGTATACCATTTTTCCTGAGCTTCTTCGTCAACATTTTCCACCTCACTGGGTTGAACACTGCCATCGTTAGTGGATAGTTAATTTTCTTGAGACTCTTCCATCCGTGATACGCCATCCTCTTCTTTACTTACTTTCTCCCTCCGTTTCATTCCCCACTTCACTCCCCCCCCACTATACCCCATCTGTTTGCCATAGTAAATTTTTCTAGAACTTCAATCCTCTTGTTCAACTTTTTGAGGTAATCCAAGGTCTGTGTACTGACCCCAGAATCCACAAAGCTACCCTGCACTTCATCACCACTAGGGTACACTTTTTCGGCTTCGTTTCCCGCTAGAAAAGTAGCTTCCCTAGTGGCTCCGATAGCCACTAGGCTATCCATAATCGTCGCCGTGCCTTTCTCCCAAACGTTCGTCACAGAGGCTATCGTTGTGTTTCCACTGTTTCTTCCTTGTCCCTCCTGTGCGATCTTTCCTTCCTTCGGATCTTTGTTTACACTGCATATGGGTGCCGTCAGGGAATCTCTCACGCGGGGCTTCAGGGACATAGGACATAGGACATATGTATATATATATATATATATATATATATATATATATATATATATATATATATATATATATATATATATATTTTGGTTTTTCTTTTCTCTACCCCTCCCTTTAACCTCTATTTATCTTCTCACCCTCCATCGTCCTTCCCCTCCGTCTCTCCCCAATTCCTCTCCCCAAAATCATATAAAGTTCGCCGGCTGCTCTCTTCCCACGCTGTCTGTCGCCCACGAAATAATTTTATTACTATTTTCTGGCGGCCTGTGAGAGTTTGTTACATATTTATGCTTGTGTGTGGCGCGGAATGGGGGGGGGGTAAAGGTCATATAGAATGAGAGATGCTTGCCGGGAGGGGAGAGGTCAAGGGGGGAGAGATCATAAGATTACACCACGGAGATTAGCAGTCTCCGTGGTGTAGTGGTAAGACACTCGCCTGGCGTTCCGCGAGCGCTATGTCATGGGTTCGTATCCTGGCCGGGGAGGATTTACTGGGCGCAATTCCTTAACTGTAGCCTCTGTTTAACGCAACAGTAAAATGTGTACTTGGATGAAAAAACGATTCTTCGCGGCAGGGGATCGTATTCCAGGGACCATAGGATTAAGGACTTGCCCGAAACGCTACGCGTACTAGTGCTGTACAAGAATGTATCAACTCTTGTATATATCTCAAAAAAAAAAAAAAAAAAAAAAAAAAAAAAAAAAAAAAAAAAAAATAATGGGGGGAGGTCAAGAGGGGGGAAAGGGTGTGCTCCGGGTGACTATACGACCACCGGGCGGTGATCGTAGCTGCTGACACTCTACGGGGGCTCACCATAGCCCGTGCTACTTGGAACTTGTTCCGAGTAGCTGAATCTATAACAACAACAACATGCTGACACTGCTGTCAAGGTCTTTTTTGTACCTTTTTCTCGTTATAATGCACAGTGATTAGTTACAATAGGTTAGGCATTCTTGTTTGAGAAGCTGTTCACTTGAGACAGTTAAGCAAGTCCCAGCTGTGTCTGGGTAGAAGTGACAGGATGAACAACCCAGCGGGTTTTCTTCCTATTGGGGAGTGTTGTATATGCTGTTATGGCGGTGTGTCCACTCACAAGATGAGTGGCGCTGCCCAATAAACTCGCCCCTCGGGGCAAAATTTAAAAAAAAATTAAAATAGGTTAGACAGTGAGGTGAGGGGAGTTCAGGTCAAGTTAGGTTAGATTAGGTGAGAGGTTGGTATTTGTGAGGTTAGGTTAGGCTAGATGAGATCATATTACGACAGGTGACCTCAATATTATGACATCACCTGAATTCAGTTCACCTAAGTTATGTGATGTTACGTTGACTTTGACTAGGTAATGTTAAGTTAGGTTAAGTTATGTTCAAGTTTGAAGTGAGGTTAGATTACTTTAGGTTATTAATATTAGGTCTTTTTTCCTGTAATAGAAGGAATGTGGATCTGGCAGACCCGTAAGCTCCCTCAGTATGGGACGCTTAGTGAAGCCTTCTTATCCGGGGTTTCTGTCCCCTTCCAAGTGTTTTCTGTCCTCTTCCGAGTGTTTTCTGTCCTCTTCCACGTGTTTTCTGTCCTTGTCCAAGTGTTTTCTGTCCTCGTCCAAGTGTTTTCTGTCCTCTAACCACGTGTTTTCTGTCCTCGTCCAAGTGTTTTCTGTCCTCGTCCAAGTGTTTTCTGTCCTCTTCCAAGTGTTTTCTGTCCTTTTCCAAGTGTTTTCTGTCCTCTTCCAAGTGTTTTCTGTCCTTTTCCAAGTGTTTTCTGTCCTCTTCCAAGTGTTTTCTGTTTAATGCCCATATCGCCACCAGGTTGTAAACTATGTCTTGCGTTCAGACCAAGTCTTAAGCCTTCAGCACCCGGGACGTCCCCAGCAAGACCGTCAATGACCACCCGATTCGACGAGGCCTTTATCTCCTCGCCACAAAGTCTGACACAACATTACCCCGGTTTTTGTTTTGGGGAGCCGGTCGGCCGAGCGGACAGAACGCTGGTCTTGTGATCCTGTGGTCCCGGATTCGATCCCAAGCGCCGGTGGGAAACAATGGGCAGAATTTCTTTCACCCTGATGCCCCTGTTACCTAGCATTAAATAGGTACCTGGGTGTTAGTCAGCTGTCACAGGCTGCTTCCTGGGGGTGGAGGCCTGGTCGAGGACCGGGCCGCGGGGACACTAAAATGCCCCGAAATCATCTCAAGATAACCTCCAACCGCTTGGGCTGGACGGTAGAGCGACGGTTTCGCTTCAGGCAGGTCGGCGTTCAATCCCCGACCGTCCAAGTGATTGGGCACCATTCGTTTCCCCCCCCCCTCCGTCATATCCCAAATCCTTATCCTGACCCCCCCTTCCCAGTGCTATATAGTCGTAATGGCTTGTCTCCCAAAACACGGGAGACATCTCCCGTCACGCTGGGTGCATTCGCACCTCCACAGATCTCCAGTATCAGCTCTTGATACTGGTAATGGCTTAAAATGGCCACCACTTACGGGCTATTCATGCCCGTGCCACCTTTTGGGTGGCTTAATCTTCATCAATCAATCAATCAATCTCCCAAAAGCGTAACATCCCAAATCCCTCGCACATGTGGGGAAATCAGACAAGCACGGCTTTAAGCCGAGGCAGGAGTAGTATGTCTGATCGGCAGCCCATTCGGGGAGATCAGGAAACCCAACCCTGAACGTGGGGTCATGGTTGCACCTTCATTATCCCAATTACCACATTTCACTGTTTCAATTTGCAGGAATTGATAGTAATTTTGGAGTACATGACGCTTTAGAATATTTATTGCGCGGAGATACCAAACCTGGAAACTTCTTTCGTTTTAATATCTACTTGATACACAGGTATTGCCCAGTATGATGCTGTAATATAGTGTTGGGACACACTCTTCAACATTATAATAGTATGTGACCAGTTATTAATGATTTTAGACCAAATGCTTGAAGCTTCTCAACTATTTATTTACTTGTGGATATTAAAACCTTTTCCGAGTAGCCTCGACCCTCGCTACATGTAGCCTCGACCTTTACTACTGTAGCCTCGACCTTTGCTGCATGTAGCCTCGACCCTTACTACTGTAGCCTCGACCTTTGCTACATGTACCCTCGACCTACGCTACATGTAGCCTCGACCAATCACCCTGCGAGATGGGGCTGTTAGGTGAACATAACTAGCTTTCTAACCTTTCATATAGACACAATACCTGAAGTTGTTGATACCCATATGATGTCCATTAATATATTTAATTTGCTTATAGTATATATTTAAATATAGATTTCCTTTATGAAATAAAAAAGGAAGATGAAAAATACTTTTCACCTCCCCTCCCCCATCCTTAATCTCTCTCTGTCTCTCTCTCTGTCTGTCTCTCTCTCTCTCTCTCTCTCTCTCTCTCTCTCTCTCTCTCTCTCTCTCTCTCTCTCTCTCTCTCTCTCTCTCTCTCTCTCTCTCTCTCTCCTGTCTAGTGAAATTACATCACAAGATGATCCAATTCAAATTGAGCAAGTAGTTTAGTACTAAAGGTGGCGGAGGAATAGTTCAGTGTTGCCAGTTGAACACCTCGTAATAAAGTATGTCTTTGTGTCATATGTTGTCCCCCATGACCTCTCGTGTACTCCCACGTAACCCATGTACACCCATGTACACCCATGTTCACTCATGTATACGCATGTACTCCTAAGGACATCCTCCCTCTCATATCTCGCCACCTAAATACCCTTGTCCCAAATCACCTCCTCCGTCCCATTCTGTTTTTCCCTCTCCTCCTTCCCCCTCGTCGTCTTCCCTCCCTCCCTCCTCTTCTTGCATTCCTTCTCTTCCATTTTTTCTCTCCACTCTCTTTCCCTAGCCTCCTCTCCTCCCCTTCTTCCCCACCTGATCTTCTCCCCCTCTCTTCCCAGGTATCACCAGGTACCACCAGGTACCACCAGGTACCACCAGGCACTAACAGGTACCACCAGGTACCACCAGGCACTACCAGGTACCACCAGGTACCACCAGGTACCACCAGGCACTACCAGGCACTACCAGGTACCACCAAGTACCACCAGGTACCACCAGGTACCACCAGGCACTACCAGGTACCACCAAGTACCACCAGGTACCACCAGGTACACCAGGTACCACCAGGTAGGTCCAGGTAACCTACAGGTGTGATACTGACCAATTAATGGTGATTATTTAAGATTTACGTCTTCAAGTCTTGTGAATAGATTATAATAAGCTTCGAGAAGGGTATTTATCGTGGGTAGGAGACCCAGTTATCTTGTTGGTGGTGTCGTGGTTCTTGGTGGTCCTTGGTAGTCCTTGGGGGTCCTTGGTGGTCCTTGGTGGTCCTTGGTGGTCCTTGGAGGTCCTTGGTGGTACGTGTGGGTCCTTGGGGGTCCTTGGTGGTCCTTGGTGGTCCTTGGGTGTCCTTGGTGGTCCTTGGGGGTTCTTGGGGGTCCTTGGTGGTCCTTGGGAGGGTCCTTGGGGGTCCATGGGGGTCCTTGAGGGTCCTTGGTGGTCCGTGTGGGTCCTTGGTGGTCCGTGTGGGTCCTTGGTGGTCCTTGGTGGTCCGTGTGGGTCCTGGGTAGTCCGTGTGGGTCCTTGGGGGTCCTTGGTGGTCCTTGGTGGTCCGTGTGGGTCCTTGGGGGTCCTTGGTGGTCCTTGGTGGTCCGTGTGGGTCCTTGATAGTCCGTGTGGGTCCTTGGGGGGTCCTTGGGGGTCCTTGGTGGTCCTTGGTGGTCCATAGGGCCTTGGTGGTCTTTGGTGGCTGTGTTGCGAACCTTCTCTCTCTCTCTCTCTCTCTCTCTCTCTCTCTCTCTCTCTCTCTCTCTCCCATTTTCTGTCTACCTATTTACACCTCATTTACTTCTCACTCATAGTCGTCCCCAGACACTGTGTATTAATAACTTGAAGTTCCAATAACATTACGTAGATAGAACAAACGAAGCCCATTCCCTATTCCCCTAAATAAAATCAGTACCCAAACCGTGTGAGCTAACATCTTTTCCTGCAATTTTTCTAATCTATTTGAACATTACGAAGTCAATAATTCTTCAAACAGCTGTATTCTCATTCTGAAAACGCTATTGATTTACAAAAAAAAACACGTAATTGTATTCTCTTGCTGTGCAGGGCACCGGCGCTGTGGCGTGCCCTCGGTAATTTGCATAACATAACATATTTGCGCTCCCCATAACAGCAGTCTGCGCTTTTAGGGAGCGGTCGATGTTGTCATCACTTTTTACTAGGTCCCTCCAGCCTGGGAGTGTTCAGGACGCTGAACAACCCCTCCAGCCTGGGAGTGTACAGGACGCTGAACAACCCTTCCTGCCTGGGAGTGTACAGGACGCTGAACAACCCCTCCTGCCTGGGAGTGTACAGGACGCTGAACAACCTCTCCAGCCTGGGAGTGTTCAGGACGCTGAACAACCCCTCCTGTCATTTGGTGTCAGAGGGTAGTTAGGCAAAAATTTAGAAGACAAATTAATGATCTGGTTTGCTGTTTTATAACGCTAGATCGAGGGGACAGGATCATGGCTCAGTGATGTAGACTACATACAGTAGTCTACATCACTGAGTAGTCTACATCACTACATAGTAGTCTACTTATAGTTGGGACTGAAGGGCCACGCTGGGTTCTTAATGTAGAAGAAGAGGTGGGCAGGCAGGAAGAGTGCTTCCCACCAGTAGTAGTGTTGTGAAGGAGTGTCTGGGCACTCCTGTTATTGTTGAGTGTCTGGGTCTTGTATAAGGAGTGACGTGGTAATTGTGGTTACTTAAAGTAACGAATAGCATAAATATTACTTGTGTTTTGGTAGCGAAAGTAGATATTATATATTTTACCTTATATATATATATATATATATATATATATATATATATATATATATATATATATATATATATATATATATATATATATATATATACAGATACACCTAGTGTAAACGTCTGCGCTTTCCTGAACGTTGTCGGGGAAATTTCCATAACAAAGTTATGGAAATTTGCAAATTTTTCACATTTTCACAAGTTCTGATTGTGAAACAAAATACGTCATGGGACTCACCATGACAACAATTAGGTATAATTTCACTTAATTTGTTGTCCCCGTAAGTCCCCCACACACTGTACAGAGCCTATGATATCTTACTTCAGGAGGGAACATATAACCTTCTATTCCCCTTGATGTAGTGAGGTCTGAAACACGCACATAACGTCCGGTAATAACCTCCTTCACAACCGGTACTCGGCTTCAATATTAATAATTCCCACCAACGGCTGGCTCCCACAGAAGGGTACAGGAGGTCCGGCGTAAATAAACTTGGAAATGGTGATCTGGTCGGGGAAAACAGACGCCCAATAACAGTCCTGAGGATCGTGAGGCGGACGACACCGAGTGTAAACGCGGCAAACCAGACTAACTGGCCAGCCACCCCGTCAACCTTGCAGGGGGGTGGAGGGTTGCAGGGGTAGGGGATGCCGGGGTGGGGGGTTGCAAGGGTGGAGGTTGCCGGAGTAGGGGTTGCCGGGGTGGGGAGGTACAGGGGTGAGGGTTGCCGGGGTGGGAAGCTGCAGAGGTGGGGGTTGCCGGGGTGGGGAGCTGCAGGGGTGAGGTTTGCCTAGGGGTTGCCGGGGTGGGAAGGGGTTGAAGTGCCGGAAGGATACTGCCGGATGGTGTCCTGCACTGCATTGAAAGAGGCGAACACAATAAATGGCGTCATGTGACGGACAGTCATAAGGATCATAGATTCAGCTTTGCGGTATGGAATTGGGCGCTAGCCGTCTCCTCCAACTAATATTCAGTCGTTTCCAAACTTTGTCTCTACCGTTTCCCAACATCTGTCTATCTATCCGTCTGAGTATCTCTATCTCTCTCTCTCTCTATCCTCTCTCTCTCTCTCTCTCTCTCTCTCTCTCTCTCTCTCTCTCTCTCTCTCTCTCTCTCTCTCTCTCTCTCTCTCTCTCTCTCTCTCTCTCTCCAGACTAGTCATCTCTTCACGAGACTTGATATTCTGGAGGGATTTTCTTCTTAATGACTCTGGCTCCTGTATTATAGAGCTCACATTGGTTGTCTTCCATATACTGTTACCAGTGAGGAATTGTAGACCATTGTGAAGGACCCATAACCTACACTGCCTCTACTCAACCACACAGATTTGTTATATATAACTGGGATGAGGTAGTCAAAGGCATTCAGGACCCGCTAACACCGGTGTCTGGGGGGGTCTAACACCGGTGTCTGGGGGGTCTAACACCGGTGTTTGGGGGCCACTAACACCGGTGTCTGGGGGCCACTAACACCGGTGTCTGGGGGCCACTAACACCGGTGTTTGGGGGCCTCTAACACCGGTGTCTGGGGGCCACTAACACCCGGTGTGTGGGGGCCACTAACACCGGTGTCTGGGGCCACTAACACCGGTGTGTGGGGAAGACAATTATAAGTTAAGAATAACCACGTGAAGAACAGTTCAGGGTATAAGAAAATGTAACATCTCCTGGCTGTCGGTGGCTGGTGAAGTGGGGATGATGTTGATGTTGCTGACCAACAATCACCACCACCATCATCACCACCATCACCACCATCACCACCATCACCACCACCATCACCACCATCATCTTCCCCACAGCATCTTCAGCTTCCCCCTACAATATCACCCAACAGAAAATCACGCTGTAATGGAGACTGTGGCTTAGCGCTCAGTTGTCCTGGGAATAATTCAGTTCCTCTTCATCCTTATCATTGGTGTGAGCGTGCTGGAGCTGCCCCCGGGGCGCATTATGGACGACCCATGTGTGAAACTGCATAGTGAGCGTCGACGACAGCAGTAAGGAGAATGGTTCGCACTATACTCCCCCAGACTGGCAGTGGTTGGGGGTGGGTGGAAGCTGGGGGATATTGAGGTTACAGACCGTTGTGTGTGTGTGTGTGTGTGTGTGTGTGTGTGTGTGTGTGTGTGTGTGTGTGTGTGTGTGTGTGTGTGTGTGTGTGGTGTGGTGTGTGTGTGTGTGTGTGTGTGTGTGTGTGTGTGTGTGTGTGTGTGTGTGTGTGTGTGTAGGGAACACACAACAGCCCTCGTAAACACGAGCACTTTACTGTAATCAGAATGTGTAATAAATAATAAAATAACATATTTTACCAAAAAAATAAAAAATAAGCAAACTGTACAACGAGGAAAACATGTAATATAAAATTCGAGCTTCCGTGATGAGCTTGTTGAAAATTCTTCTAAAGTTCAAAAAGTTCAAATTCTATAAAAATAATACTTGAATCCAACGCAAACTGAAATTGCAACACAACCAAATGCCATGACAAAGGAAACTGGGTGATTAAGGCGTGAAAATTCCAGAGTTGGCTGTGGTGGGCCGGGGTGGGTCGCTGTGGGCTGTGGTGGGCCTGGGTGGGTAGCTGTTGGCTGTGGTGGGCCGGGGTGGGTTGCCGGTGGCTGTGGTGGACCGGGGTGGGTCGCCGTGGGCTGTGGTGGGTGGTGGGCTGAGGCGGACGTTAGTTGTTTGTGGTAGGCATAAGTGAAGGGAAGGGAACTATGAAGGGGAAAGCACCAAGTCATTACGACAATATAGCACTTTGGTAGGGGTCAGGATATGGATTTGGGATGGACGGGTGGATAGAGGAATGGTGCCCAACCCCTTGGACGGTCGAGGATTGAACGCCGACCTGCATGAAACGAGACCGTCGCTCTACCGTCCATGATTGGTCGAGTTCAGCGTCGTCTTGTAGAAAAAAACTTACAAGTTCAAGTATGTTTATTGAGACAAGAAAGAAATACATCTCAAAGGAATAGAGTAGCTTAGGCTATTTCTACCCCCCCCCCCTACCAGGTAAGTTTCAATTCATTCAACCTACTTTATTCCCATTCCACATTTCTCTTGTTCCCAGCACCTCTCTTGTTATTTCAGCAGATACTTGAATAAAAGGAGAGTTGTGTGATAAAGGCATCAGTTATGTCGCACAGCTCGGGGGAACCTTTAGAGGCTTAAACCTTAAATTCAGCCAAATTTTCCTGAGCCTGAAATGGTAGCCACTATACTATATGCCAGTTTTTCCTGTATTTGGTATTCTAGATTCACTTGGGGGGGCTGCAAGCTTATCTAGATTGCATTATTTAAATTATATCCACACTTAAATTAATTGTGAAAAGATCACTGAGATTATATAATTGATATTATATATTTTGAGACAAATATATTAAATATAATTTCTTGAAGAAAACATTGTGCATTCATGATAGTTACATTATTACAGCAAACTATTAAATATGTAAGTGCTTTCATAGCACACAAGTTAGGGAGGAGGGTGTTCTCCTCTTCAGTGACGTAAGCCGGTGCACTGTCCTCTGCTTCCCTTCGCCAATTGCATTGCAACCTTTCATAGATTCTGGAAGAGTTGTGACTCATATTTCCCTGCCACATTTGCCTCCTTTTTTCATTGTTATGCTCACCTGTTTCTGCCCCCCCCCCTCCACCTCCTCACTTGGCATTTGAAGCACAGGAGCAACAATCATCATTTGGTACAGTGACCAACAGTGACCAGCATTCGCCAGCAGCCTGGAGCCAAAAGCGACCAGCCTGGTACGAAGCCCCTCTTTGTTGTCCAGGATGATTGCTGCCTTTGTCGTGGGAAGGCCCATCAAGTTCACTACCTTTCAGAGTGAAGATCTCTCTATGCGAATTCGGTTTGCACACACTCGCGGCTGCTGGTACGGCCACTCTCAGCGTTCCGGCTGTT